CACGTCCAAGTTCGGCTAAGGACGCCCGGAGGGCCGTGGCATCAGACGTCATCTTTGGAATGTTGTGGGTCGTGCCGCCTGGCAACTGCGCTTGGGATTCTGGCCTTGTCTTCGAAAGAGCATCGTTGACGATGCAGGGCACTTCCATCAAGCTCGGGTAGAAATTCTGCTCGCTGAGATCCACCAGACGGCCTAGGCTCATGAGGACGAGCTGCATGTCGTCATCTTCAACATTGCCGCACACATTCCTGGCGAACTTCTCCCAGCTATAGTAGTTGGCCATCACCTCAGCAACGACATCAGATTGTACCTCAGCGAGGGCAGCACTTACTAAATCGAGTGCACACCTATTCTACATGAGGCAAGGGTGTCGTCTCGCGGATTTGGCACCGGATCCACACGAAAGTGAGCTTTGTCCTCCTAGAATCAAAAGACCCCGAATTCCGGGAGTCGCGCACCTTGTAGTAGGCATTCCGTAATTGACTCAGCCGTGTGTTGTCGCTGTTGACGATCACCGCCAGGTAGTCCATGATGACTTGCGTATCCAGCATCGTGCGGAAACGACCCATAGCTTGCCACACCACTCTGTCACGCATCAGCAGCTTGGAGTCCTTGAAAGCCTTGTGCAACTTGTCCCTGTCAACGAAACCGACTAACCTTCCGATGGACATCACGTCCGCACCCAATTGCTCAAGCTGCATCCACGCTTCGTGGGCATAAGCCACTGCGGTCTGTCCCGCTTGCAAACTCTTGACCAGGTCGTCACGTACCACCATCACCAAGCGCTCGCTTTTGTTGCAAGCGGTTATGCGCTGGAGCGCAATGTGCAGCTCGGGCGACAGGCTCATGCTGGAAACTGATGGGAGCTGCTTCTCAACCGCACTATGACCACAGACAGGTTCACCTTTTGTCGAGAAGCACTGCAACTAGCCCTAGCCCACATCATATATGCGATGGGATCACTTCAGTAAGCGACCGTACTAACTTGTCATTGAATGGTCCTGGAGCCATGAGTGCCACATTTGCCGATGCAACGCACCTGACCAGGTGTACTTCAACATCCTGGCGGAAACTGCATGAAGCAACTCTGGTGACCCTAGTGATGATGATGAACATGAGGAGGCTCCTGATGTTGATGATGATCCTGATGTCATGAAAATGATTATGTTTATGACCATGATGACAGCGATGATGACGGAATAGACTGTAACGACTGCCATGGTAATGACTTTCTGGACTGTGTTGTTGATGATGATCACGACCAGCACGACCACAGCACGGAAAAGGACGAGGAGTGGGATATTGATACTGATGATGATGGCTTAGCTGGAAAGGCTGGGGTCTGGGCAGGCGTTTGTCGGCCTCGCCGTGGCCCGCAGCGCGTCTAACAGCCGTGGAAGTCGTATTCCCGTGGTGTTTTGGAGAAAGGGGGGTCCTGTCTCGTGGAAGGTGCAAAGCGTGCATCCGGTGCGTTGCGGAACGAGTTGTGGCTTCGCGATCGGGGGTAATGGCTGCTGACCTGGCCACGGCACCCTAAACCCGAGGCGTGAGACTTGCCATGATCTGGATTCAAGATGCAACGCTGCAGATTGAACTGGATTGAAGTGTCAACAAGTGCCCTCAGTCGGACAGCGAGACAAATCAAAGTCTTCCATTACAGGGGCAGCGAGCCTGTGATGCAACCCACGTGCATTGCCTGACATGCTTGAAGCGACTTCAAGAAGAGATATTGCCTCATATTGCCTCAGACTCCCGTCTGACCCTGAGCTTTGAAATACCTCAACCCCACGTCCAATCAGCTTTTTGTTCTGCCATGCCCCGTCTGGTATTGCTTTTCTGGCTAACTTCACCAGACGACCAAGAGAGACTGGACTCGAGGAACAGGGCTTGCGAGGGCCCTGAGCCGTTGCCCACAGAGAACTTGAAGAGTCTTCCCTGAGTGTATACGCACACATGCTGCCTACATATGAAGTCTCCCTCAAACCTATGCTGCTCCTATGATATAACTGTCACCGTCGAAAGGGCGCCCAAATACCTGAAAGGCTCATGCTGAATCACTTTGCCCCGGCATTCAAGCTTGGATATGGTCTCGACTCAGAAGGCGCCCTTTCTACACTGATGGGCAAGCTTCAGCATAGTTATAGGAACAGTAATGACAATCATAACGAGCTGCACCCCAAGCCCAGTTGAAGTCGTCACCAGCGATCGAATTGCGCGCTTCCGGCGAAGGCGCAGCCCAAGGTCTACTGCACTTTAACCTCTGGAACCCTAAACCTTCTGGGACCTTGGATTTCGGCCACATGTACATGTCCGCCCAGCTTTGCAGGGAAGCTTTGCTTGACGAATCATGGAAAGTATTAAACCGGCGATGAAAACAGAAAACAACCCTAACTGGGGCTATCCTACCCAGAGAATATCCCCTCCTCATGGTAGGCTACCGCAAGTCTCGCAACGAGTCTCGGCGGCTGCACCTTCGCACTCCCTTCTCGCGCTTCCCCAGTGGCCGGTGCCATCAGACCGCCGAACTCAAAGCAGCCAGCCTGACCCTTAAAGAGGCCCTAAGCGGATGCCTCAAACCTACATCCACGCTCTACACTTGTTGTTGATCATCAACCATACCATAAGGTATGGCCATGCCGGGTCAGATCAGGCTCCCTGGCTCCCCCAATGCCACAGCTCAGAGTTAAAAACCCTGAAAACCCATAAACACCGAGCCGTCTAGTCAAAGGAAAGTACACGTAGGGAGTTTAGGGTACATAGGGCTTCTATAAGGCTTCTATAAGGTATACAGACCTTCCATAAGCCTCCTATAACGGCAACTACGCACCTGAAAATGTCCTAGATCTAGGGTTACCTTTAGGGTTTAAGGTTTTTTGTTTAAAGCCTTTTTCCACCTCGCAACA